ATTCTAGGACATAAAGCCCCCTCAGTGTTTAGGGAATTCTGGGAGTTAAAGTCCCCTCAGTTTTTAGAGAATTCTAGGATATGAAGTCCACTCAGTGTTTAGGGAATTCTGGGAGTTAAAGTCCCCTCAGTTTTTAGAGAATTCTAGGACATGAAGTCCACTCAGTGTTTAGGGAATTCTAGGATGTAAAGTCCACTCAGTGTTTAGGGAATTCTAGGACATGAAGTCCACTCAGTGTTTAGGGAATTAAACCTTCATTTTCCTCCCTCTCACAAAATGCAAAAGTGGAAAATAAATTAATAACAAAATCTGTTTTCCCCCTCTTTTTAAAAATTGTTCCCATCCTCAAATCCTCGAGTCCAAATTTTGACTCTTGCAATTGATGGAGATAAAAAACAAATCATGTGCCCAGTTCTTCATTTATGACAGTTCGTTTAGTGACCATTCAAAGTTAATGACATTGAAAACAGGGAGATAAAACCCCTTTTTTCCCTTAACGACCATCGCGCCATTCCCCCAATTAAAAATTCAGACGTTTGGCAACTGACTCGCATTTATGACGGCTGAAGTGAGAAGCAGGAAGCCAGGACTGCTTAGTGACCATGCTGCTAACATCACCGCAGCAGCGATTCCACTTAATGACAGGGCCCAGAAAGGTCGTACCATTTGGGCAAGCCTCCCTGAGCAAATGTTTCCCTTAGCGACGTGAATGTAGGGCTCCATTGTGGTCGTAAGTCGAGGACTGGCTGCATGCACAACTTCCAACTTCTTCTGAGGATAGAATGAACCCTTTCGACGCCTTTCGAGTTAAATTAAAAACCGGGATAAAACGTCCAGTTTTAATTTTCTCTCCCCGCTCCCCGCCGGAAAATCAAGGAAAAGAAAAAAAATCCTTGAAATTTTTCCCCCTCTGTTGTATCAAACTTTTATTCTGATTTCTTTTTCATTGGATTTTGACCTGTTGAGTTGTTTTATTTTTATTTTCTCCGTCTCCGGCCAAAATCGATAATTTTGACTGACGGAGTTGAGACAAGGGCAATTTCAAAAGGAGAGAAAAAAAAAAGAATTCTCTTTTTTTTCCTTCCTTTTTTGAAATTGTCCCCATCCTCAACTCTGGGAGCCGAAATGTCGATTTTGTCAAGAGATGGAGAAAAAAAATCTCATTCACCCCCAGTTTAGGGTTTCCTGCCTAAGCAGGTGGTAGGACTAGATGACCTCCAAATTCCCTTCCAACTCCGTTTTTCTGTAAGGGTCTCTCGATCAAGCCAGGGGTTGGACTAGACTAGATGACCTCCAAGGTCCCTTCCACCTCTGTTTTTCTGTAAGGGTCTCCCACTCAAGCAGGGGGCTGGACTAGAAGACCTTCAAGGTCCCTCCCACCTCCGTTATTCTATCCTAACCTACTTTCAGTTTTCCCAAAGGTGCTTTTCATTTCAAGAGGCAACTGGCCTTTCTGGCTGTTTTTTTTTTCCTTTCTTTCTTTTTTTTCTTTGAAGAGGTTTCGCTTCTCCTCCGAGAAGCTTCTGACTGAAGGGTGGAGGATGGAAATGGCCTCTCAATGACAATTCTCAGAAAGAGGACTAACGATCAGAGGACTGGAAGGAATAGTAATCGTTCCATCCTTCCATTAGAACCGAAGAAAGCCTCTCTGGAGGAGAAGCGAAACCTCTTCAAAGGAAAAAAAAAAAAACCACCAGAAAATTCCATTTGCCTCTTGAAATAGAAAGGGATAAAAATGCAATATTTTTCAGAGACCTTCTGTGATCCTCCCAAGCGAAAGCCGGTTTCCAGCTGACCCACTAAGGACAGCTTATTTAAAAATAGCGATAGCTTACAGTCTTCCTTTCCGTTTTGGGAAGGATTTTCTTCTTAGGGACTGATTTGATGCCGAGAATTAGGAAATGCTGTTCTCTGTCATAAGGTGATGAGAGATTTTTTTTTTTAAAACCTCTTGGACCATAAACCGGCTTTTCGCCCCCCCCCAAAACCCCTTATGGCAAGTCCTCGACTTAATGGTGGCGGTGGAGCCCACAATTTCTGTCGTTCAACAAGACGGTTGTTAAGTGAAGAGGATGATACACCTCAGTACTTAGAGTCCTCGACTTATGATGGCGATTGAGCCCTTGATTTCTGTTGCTCAGCGAGACAGTTGTTAAGTGAGCAGAAAGATATACCTCAGTACAGAGAGTCCTTGAGTTACGATGGCGGTAGAGCCCACAATTTCTGTCGCTCAGTGAGACAGTTGTTCAGTGGGGAGGAAGATACACCTCAACACGGAGAGTCTTCAAGTTATGACCTTAATTGAGCCCCACATTTATGTGGCTAAGTGGAACCTTTGTTAAGCCAGCTTCGCCCCGTTTGACGAATTTTTTTTGTCGCAGTTGTGAAGTGAATCATGGCTGTTGTGAGGTGGTCGTTAAATGAATCGGGCTTCCCCACTGACATTGCAATAGGGGAATCACTTTTGTGACCTTCTGGCAAAGGAAGCCGGATTCACTTAACGACCATGTGACTCCATGGTCTGACCACAACAGAGGCTGTCATAAGTCCATGCTCTGAAGTCCATTTTGCTCCAATTTAAGACCTTTCTGGCCTCCATCCTTAAGTGAATCGCTGCTGTTGCTAAGTCAAGTCCCCTGGTCGTTAAGTGAATCCGCCTTCCATCTTGGCTTGTCAGAGACACTGCGACCATCATAAATATGAGACCTTCTGAGGACAAGACCACGGGGATACTGCCACGGTCACTAAGCGTGAAAAATGGTTGTGGGTAGCTTTTTCCAGTGCCATGGTACATTCGGACGGTCACTATAATGAGGTGTCGTAAGTCAAGGACCCCACTATTTTTGGGTACAGAGAGTTTGATGTGCTAGGTTGGATTGTGTAGTGAGAGTTTCGGAATTCGGAATTAGAGAAATAGAAGAGTTGGAAGGGACCTTGGAGGTCATCTAGTCCATCCTGCCGCTCGAGCCGAAGACCCTTACAGAATCATAGAAAGACTGAGTAGTCAGAAGGGACCTCGGAAGTCATCTAGTCCAGCCCCTCCGCTCAAGCAAGAGACCCTTACAGAATTGCAGAGTTGGAAGGGCCTTTGAAGGTCTTCCAGTCCAACCCTCTGCTGTGTCGATGTGCATGGTTTCTCCTTGAAGAACAGTTTTGAGATGGGGTTTTTTTAGCCAGCCACCTTCCTGCAGGACCAAAGGGAAGAGTTGGTGAAAACGAAGGTTTTGTGGAGTCTTCCACCATCCCAGGGTGTGTTCGTAGATGTCTTTTTCTGGGCCAACCTTCTTCCAGCTGGCGGTCACCAAACACTATGGACTTCAAGCCTTACCAACTTGTTCTGAACTAGGCTTCCCAAGATCATGAAGCCGACTCCTCGTCCCGATAAAAACCCCTTTTATTTAGGTTATAAAGGGAATTCCTCTCCAGCAAAGTCTCGGCCAACCGTCTCATGAGATTTCACAATTACAGGCCTTGGAGAGTTGCCAGGCCGATAGCTTCCAAACGCCACACTGTAGCAGCAATTACTTGGCAAGAAGTCAGGAACAGATCTTCACCCGAACGAAGTGAACTAATTCTCCCCTGCAAACCCCTTTTGCTCCTCTTTATTCCCTCTGGGAGGGGCCATTCACCATCCACCTGTGGCTTTACTCCCGAGTCGACCCTTGTTCCTTAGCTGTTCCCTTCTCCTGGCAGCTCTGCGCATGGGCACACTGGGAACAGGCTCCAGCTGTTCTTCTTCCCCACTTATCTCTGACTCAGAAGGCAGCTGATAACCGCCAGACAGCCCTGGCCCCATCTCTGCCTCCGACGCAGAGCCCTCGTCCGAGCCTCCCCCGGATCCCAGGACCGGCCTATGTTCCTCCCCCAACCTCCTCACTGTCCCAGTCTGCCGCCAGCTTCGCAGACTGCTGGCGGCCACAACACAACTGGGAAAAGAAGCAGATTGTGGTTCTTCTAGCCAGCATTGTGAGATCTGGCCCGCCCTGAACTATTTATTTAGGATTTCGGCTTCATGCCCTCCTGTTGTTGGATCTACTGGTCTGAAGGGATTGAGACAGCGGGATCCTGTTTTAAGTAGGGGGTCATCCTTGGTTCCTCACACAGCTTAGCGTTGCCTCCTCCAACGTTTTGAGGACCCTGGTCTTCAGCTTATGTTTGTCCGCGAACGATTTCTGAAGAGGAACCATTTTGTGAGTGGGAGTAAGAGAACGGAGGCCTAGCTGAGCCTGGGAGGTTTTTGTGTGTGGTGGCCGTGGGCATCGAGAGATGAGAGATAAGTTGGGTGGGTGTGGAACATGTTGGAGCAGATGATGGCCAAG